TGACAACCCCTGCCATGCTGGGATTCTGTGAGACCCCTGAGTGCAGGAAGCCTCTCAGTTACACAGCGTAACAGCCTGCAACCAACAATGAAAACACCACCTTCCCCTCTTCTCCCAGCAGTTGTGCTCTATGTCAGAGAGCAGCTGGAGCACATGGAGAGCCTGGGGAAGGCAAAGGAGCCAACTGAGAGGTTATGGGAGAGGACTGAAGAGAGGCCAGGTAATGGTGATGCTGCAGTGGGTGTCTGCTACAGACTGCCTGGAACAAGCAGCGGATCAGGCCCTCTAGGACAAGACAGGAGCAGCCTCACGTTCACAGGTCCTGGTGCTTATGGACTTCAACCACCCCCATACCTGCGGGAGGGACAAGACAGCAAGAGGTAAGCAACCCAGGAGGCTCCTGGAGGGCATGGATAAGAACTTCCTCCTCCGAGCAACAGAGGAGCTGATGAGGAGAGGTCTCTGCTGGACCTCACAGCCACAGAAGATGAGGGGCTTGTTGGGAAGGTGAAGGTCTAACGCAGCCTTGGTGGAGTTCAGGATCCTGAGGGCAGGGAGCAGGGTACAAAGCAGCTGCACTTCACAAGAGCACATGTTGGCCTCTTCAAAGATTTGCCTGGAGAGTCCTGTGAGATAAGGCCCTGGAGGGAAGAAGGGCCCAAGAAAGCTGGTCAGTATTGAAGGATCACCTCCTCCAAGCTCAACACTGGATGATCCCAATGCATAAGGGGTTAGGCAAAAGTGCTGGGAGGCCTGTGTGGATGAACAAGGAGCTCCTGGATAAACCTAAACAAAAAAAGGAAGCATACAGGGGGTGGATGCAAGGATGAGTAACCTGGGAGGAACACAGACCCATCATCCAAGCACCCAGGGATGAAATCAGGAAGGGTAAATCCCAAAGGCAATTGAATCTGGCCAGGGCTTCTCTAAGTACATAGGGGACAAAAGGAAGACTAGGGAAAACCTGGGCACGTTGCTCAGTGAGAAAGGGGTCCGGATGCCACAGGCCATGGGAGAGGCTGAAGCACTGAATACTTTCTTTGCCTCAGCCTTTAC